TAATTAATTATAGGGGTGTAAAGTGTAAATTTAAAATTATAATTTAAAAAAAAATCGTGAGGGTGAGTGTATGTGAGAGGATGAGTGTATGTGAGAAGAGAAGGGGGTGAAAAAGTGAGTATAAAGGGTATTTTGGTCATTTAAAATTTTAAGACTTTAAGACTTTTGCTAAATTTGCTTAATAAGATAGTATAGATTATCATATTTATTCTTATGACTTATAATTTATTGTTATTTTGGCTTATGTGGTTTAATTTATTACTATTTTGTCTATACTTTAAATGTAGGGATTACTCTAGAGACGAAAATAATAACAACTTAAAAACTATAGGAACGAAAATCACAATTTTTAAAAACACTGGGATAAAAATCATAATATTAACAAATCACGGGGATGAAAATGGTAATTTACTCGAGATAAGATTTACACGTGTTTGATTTCAATTAGCTAAAATTACCACCACACGGATTCCAATCTGCGTCCATTTAGCATCTCATCTGCACCGTTCACTCCTACCGTCTAGATCGACGGATCGAAATCAGGTTAAAAATTTCAAAATCCCGCGCGCCTACACACAAATATATACTCCTCCGACCTAACAAATCATTCACAGATCTCACTCATACATATCTGCCTCCTACTTTCTCTACAACTTTTCGTCAATGGCTCGTACAAAGCAAACCGCTCGTAAATCAACCGGAGGAAAGGCTCCAAGGAAGCAACTCGCCACAAAGGCAGCTCGGAAATCGGCTCCGGCGACTGGCGGAGTGAAGAAGCCCCACAGATTTCGCCCTGGAACGGTGGCGCTTCGTGAAATCAGAAAGTACCAGAAGAGTACCGAGCTTTTGATCAGGAAACTTCCATTCCAGAGACTGGTTAGGGAAATCGCACAGGATTTCAAGACCGATCTGCGGTTTCAAAGTAGCGCCGTCGCTGCGCTCCAGGAAGCCGCGGAGGCTTATTTGGTCGGGCTTTTCGAGGACACTAATCTTTGTGCGATTCACGCCAAGAGAGTGACGATTATGCCCAAGGATATTCAACTTGCTCGAAGGATCCGTGGCGAGAGGGCTTGATTGAATCATAGCATTCCATTTGTTGGATTGGTAAGATTCTGGATTTGGCGATAAATGGTTTGGGTTTGGTCAATAGTGTTCCATGCAACTCATCTGTTTTGCTATTGGAATTTTGTAGTTTCATGCTATAAATTATAATATATTTACAACGATGCTGCTCTATCAATGAAGCAATTACAGATCTGAAATCTTGTTTGAAATTGGTTGTTTTATTTCACTATGAATCAACATATTGAATCTAGTCCAACCAAAAAAATTCTGTGTTGAGAAAATCTTGTGAACAAAACCTTTAGTTAACAGTTTGGTGGTATTCAACACTGTAGTAATTGGTTGCTTACTTGTATGGTTTAAGTGCTTCCCCCTTTGTTTAGGGTTGGGAAAACCTGATATAATTGTTTGCGTTAATGAGTTGAAAGTCATCGAACCCAATTTACGTACGTATCGTAATGATAAATGTAAGAATATTTTTTTTCCATAATCTTATTGTTATTTTTATATCGTAATAATTCCGGATTTACTTTTATTGAGATAAGGAATATTTCACCTCTCAATTCATTCAATGAATGCATCCTCTGATGATGATTTTAAATTAGATTAATATCATGAATAACAATTACTTGATCTGTTGAATTAATTTGTCGGCTATGATTGAATAGTATAAGAAACGAAGATCTTTTATTCATACCGGATCAAAGATCGGTTTCACGGCACAATCCAAAATTTCTTTATTTAGCTTTTTTTTCCCGTAACCTACTGTAGGTTTCCTTGTAGAACCATCTAATGATTATTAAGTATCCGTTCATTTGGACGGAATCCAAACAAACCATTTTTATAATGATTCAATTTTCTTTGGAAGATAAAAATTAGTTGCGAGAGCACAGTTTCAGGCTCACTATTCTAATTTTTTGCATTTTAGGTTAGGGTTTATACTTTATCTGACACAAGCCTAAAATAAAATGGACGAAGGGAGCTTTAGAATTAAGTTTGTAACTTTGTCCATTATTTCATAGGGAATCAAAAGGTGAGTTGATTTATTTATTGGTTCCGCTGGTATTGATGGGGGATCAAACTTGCAATGTCCTGCTTTGAGAGGGTTGTACTCTTACTTATTGAACTACAATTCCAAGTGAATCATAAAGGATCTGAGAAAAAACTTACGTTTTTTTATTCTCTCGTATTATGTATTTCTTAAGAACAAAAAGTTCCCAAATTTGATGGTATATTGGCGAATTTTTGGGTCGAGTTGGATTTGAACGAGTGTTGACATATCGTCAACAAAATTACAGCTCGTTCCATTAATAATTTTGGCATCAACCCAACATTTTATTTCATGATGATTTTGTGAAAGAGAAAGTTATGAAAACAATGGACTATTCACAAAAAAAAAGTCAAATTCCAAATTCCATAATCTGACACCCTTTAGATATTATCTCTGACAAACCGAATTCCAAATCTGAAACCTAAATCAAAAAGAAATCTGAAACTGACATAAATTAAAATCCAACCTAAATCAAACCAAAATTCAAAACTCGACCAAATTCCTAATTCGAAACCTAAATCAAAGACGAATCTAAATCACAAATCAAAACCCTATTTCAAATGAAAAACAATGTGTATCGTGTAGTGTGTTGTGAGTAACGAGGGGGCGGGGGGTAATGACACTTTTCCTTTAGCTTGAAATGCCTAAGTAGAGGCTTTAGTTGTTTCCTATCTTCATAGGAATCAATGGGAGAATGGAAAATTGCTCACCCACCTTCACTGGTTAAAGAGGCCCTCTTCAATACATTTAGAAAAGACCTCTTTAAAGATTTGGATGGGAAAGGGCAGCAGCAGGAAGATCCATCCATCATTTTCAGGTGAAAAAGAAGACAGATGATTGATCTTTCCTAGTCTTGTCTATAATGGGCGAGTGAAAGATGGTAGCTGCTTATTCACTCTTCAAGTAGTTGAAGCTTCTGTACAAGTTTTATTAACCACAGAATTTAGTGAGCGGCGCCAAATCTTTTCTATTTACTAGAATATCTATCCTGCGAAGGAAGCTTCACTTCCCACCCCTACGGGTTGATGGCTGTTGCTCGCCGTTATTTGGTGTGTGATTTGTTTGATGAGTCTGCGTAGTATTAGGTAGTTGGTCAGGTTCCATCATTACCAAGTAATCATTGTACATAAACATTTAGGGTGCGTTTGGTACGCTGGACAGGGTGGGACAGGACAGAACAGAACACATTTGTCCTACGTTTGGTGTGGTTAAATGTGGAACTAAGTAGAACTAACTTGCACAAGCGTTGGACACGCGTGTGTCCACCTACACCCCTGGAACTAAGTAGAACTCAACTCTTTTTCCCTCTATACCCTTTTCCCAGCCGGCTATCGCATGAAACAGACATAACCCTTATTGCCTTCATCGCTTCCTCCCCATCGACGACGACATCTTCTCGACGGCGAGCTCCAATCGACGGCGACCATCTCCTCTCGCCGGCGAGCTCCAATCGACGGACGGCGACCCCTGGTTTCTCCACT